TTAGGTATTTTGGAATTTAACCCTTTCTGTATTATGTAAATTAATATTTTTCAAGTTTTAGAATCGAAGAAAACTGCATGTTTCACTTTCAAATTCAGTTGTCCAATGTTTTTATTGATAAAATCATGTTTGACAAGACAAAAGATTATGTCCACTTCCGTAGCTAATGCTTTACTCAATATGAAATAATTTATCCGATTTCATTCACAAAAATATAACAGGATATGGTTCTTCATTGAATTTTCCAGTTTTTTGTTAGATTTAGTGTGAAATTCTGCAATTCTGTCAAAAATGCATTAGAATTCCTATACTTGTGCTACATATTATTAATATGCAGGTACAATATTCAAGTATTGCCAAAAAATTTTATTTATGGAGTAGTGAATGCCAACTGCAAATTCTCTATGGAGAAAAAACATCCTTTCTATGCAGGTACCATCACCAAAATTTCATTTCAAGAATTGCTACTTTTAGTTATTTTCCTAGCAACTGAAATCATCTGGCTCTTCAAAATTAAATTCCTTTTTGTTGTTAAAGATGTCTTTAATAAACGCATACATTAATTAGACTTGTCCATGTTATCACCTTCAAAATAAAAGCGAGATAACTTAGTTTGTCTTTTTTAAGTTGTATATACTATATTTGTAACTCCAAGAATGATCATTTTTTTATATTTAGTGAGCATTTTTATTTGATTGCTTAATCAAATTAAATAAAAATGCTTTAATTTCATTTGCTTTTCTTTCTAGTTTGGTGCCATTTTAGGCAATTCCATCTTTATTTTTTGTTGGTTAAAAGATGGTGTTCTGGCATTGGTAAGAAAGGGAAATGGAATTATAAAAGTTGAGAATCGCTGATATGAAATATATTATAGTATATGAATTACAGCATAAGAGTTGCATCTGGAGCTTATAAGTGATAAAAAAAGTTTCTGTTCCGAGTCATTAATTTTTCTTTTCATTTTTGGGGTGTGGCTTGGCAAATGCATTCAAGAGCAGGAGACTGATGTTAATTACCGAAGGGGAAAGTAAACATCTGTATCAGGGATCATAAGGAAAGATATATTTTTTTAAAAAAAAGTGTTTTTAGGTCTCATTCAGTATCAGTACATCAGAAATAAATGATGCACATGGTATCAGAATGGAGACAAATTACATAAGATACGAAAAGTTATATTTTTTTGTTTATTAACATTTCATTATTACATTGTTTTCGTTCAGGAATTTCCTTCCACCCCCTGTCTGAGCAATACATACAGGTACATGTAAGTCAGCTGAAAAGCACTGCTATAAACAAATAATCCAACCAAATTCCAGTTGGACAGCGCTTATTAATACTAATTGTTTACGGAAAGCATCCTAGTTTTTGAAAAGCTTCATATCATCTAACATAAAATTAATTAATTAATCATCTTAAGAATGATTTTGTGTTGAATATGGCAAAACATATGAGGGTTGGCTAGACATGATTTCATGGAGAATTTTCTAAGGAAAATGGGCTCATATTTACATACCTTAAGGAAATTCACGAAAATGCTTACACAAAGTGGTACGTTGCAGTAAGGTTCCTTCAATCCAGTTAAATTTGCATCTAATTGTCAAGTGCTCCCATCTGTTAAATTCACATCTAAATTGTCAAGTGCTCAATTTTTTGGCTAGTTTATACATTCAAAGGAAAATACAAGTTACTCGCTGAACTTCGCACGTTAGTCTGAATAACCTTTAAACCCGATGAACAGTATATTTCTGTGGCGAGGCGAGCTTGTGCCGAATAAGTTTATTCGCTGTTTTATGTAATTTCTGCAATATTTTGTAATTCTTTTATTTTTTTTTTCATTTAAATTTTATTTTTTTAAAGATAATTTCTTTTTATTCACAAATATTTATATTTTCTATTTTTCTAATAAGTGAAACATTTAATTAGATTCTGATATTTTGTTTTCATAAGATAAAGCACAAAACCTTTGTTAAAATTTTCATAGCTCACTGTAGTTCAGTGACCATATTTTAATGTGCCATTTTATTCGCGAGTCCATTCATTCGATTTGAAACTTGGAAATGAATTAACAAATCGATCTTTCCATTCAATTGGTCCTAGCGACTTGAATACAGTGAGCCTGTGTAAACGGGAAGTATCTTTCGTAAATATAAAAACCATTATAAGCGCATTTCTAAATAGAAATTTTAAAATATAATTTTGACAGCTGTTTGACGCTGCTTTCGAAAGATTTCTTAATTATAAATATAAATATATATACTGAAAATTACGAGAAGAGGAATAACACATACGTATCTGTTATTACGAGAATAAGTATTGCTAATGTATGCATTAGGGCTTGAAAACTCATTTTGATTTACCTTTCTCTTTCTTTATGAATGACGAATATAAATAGGAAATAGGCCAAGTACAGTACGTGATCAAATAGGGAAGTAAGTGTTTAATCCATAAGATTATAAGTATTGATTAACATTTCCTATAACTACTTCTAATTGAAGGCTTCGTAACACCAACCCCTTAATTTTGACTTGCAGCTTTTAATTTTAGACTAGGATATGAGCATAGAATCTACCTTTAAACAATGGGATTTTTTTTTTTAAACACTGTGGCATGACAATGCCTAGTAATAATAGTTTTAGCGTCACTAAGAATCATTTTCTGGATTCCCATATTGATTTTTTTCCAAAAGATATTAAAAGTTGCAATTGATGAGTACAAGCAATGCATAATACATACATATATAACGTAAGTATACCATAAAGGAAAATGAAGCTGATCCAACTAAAAGCTTGATGACTGCTAGGTTAGAACCCTCTAAAGAGGGATTTATCAGAGGGAAAATGGCAATTAACATTATACTGGCAAATCAATTAAAATACCATTTAATTGATTTTAATTATTTATTTACTGTATCGATTTTATTACTAATTGTAATGGATTGGGAATATTTGAATATGAATTAGCTGAATATTTTAAGAAAAATACATTATGACTGCGAGAATAGAAAAAAAACATTTTTTGAATATTTGCTTTCTTATAGAATGCAGATGAATTCATTTTTTTTTACTCAATGTAAAATCAAAATTTTAGTAGCTGAATTAATCTGTCCCGTATCGAGCACTTTAGTTCAGTGATCCGTATTAATGTGCCCTTTTTTTTAAAAAAAAAATTAAATGCTTCAAGAATAATTAGAAAAAGGGCATAATTATCTTCTTACCCTTAAATTCTTCAATATAAAAAAACTGCATTTTCAGCTTATAAACCAGTTGAAATAATTTTCCTAAATATAATTCAAAAGCATGAAAAAATAAAGTACATAAGCAGGCTTGGAAATGGAACTAGTGTTGAGATTCTCTTTAAGAAATATGGTGAAGCTTAACAAAATGTCTACGAAGTGAAGTAATTCTGTAGAATAGTTTCTAACTCTTTATGATTAAATTGCACTCAATTATACTTTATAAACGATATGTAAATACTATTTAATGTATATGTGTGGATGTGTGTGTGTGTGTGTGTGTGTGGCTCACTAGCAGCTGAGATATATAAATAAGTAGCTTAAAAAACTGCTATATTTTATGTATACTTATCAAGTAGTTTTTAAATATATATAATGCTTAAAAGAAAGGAAAAGTCTGATCCTAACTGATTGTATATAATGTAATCCCTATGAAGGGCCCTAACAATTCTTTCTACTTAAAGGTCGTAACCCGAAAAAGAGAACAAGTAAATTAAACTTCAGATACGTATACATACTGAATGAAATACAAAATATAAAAAAATTATATTACGAAACCTAACTAACTATTTATTAGATATTATGTAAATATACATATGGTAATGGAATATTGTGTAATAAAGATATTTATACCTTGTTCTATATTTGAGTCCATTATATATACCTATACATAGATATATATAATTTAAGGATTATAGTAGTAATTAATACTACTACATATAAACCCAAAAGCATCAATAATGTATTTTTCAATATTTCATTCTTACGAATTTTCTGTGCAGTCTAGTTTGCATTATTTAATCATAAGTTCTCAAATAAAAACAATTATTGTTTATGTGTCATTAAAAAAATTAACCAAAAAGCAGCGACCACAATGTAATTGAGAAACAGTCCTTAGCCGTGAAAAGGTTGAAAGCCATTCGGTTATGACTATTATCTCACATATTCAGCTACTTCGCATACGTGGAAAACTAGCATTCGAAATGAAAACTCAATATTTATACAATTCATTCGTTGTAACAAATATCTGTCTTTCTAACACCTATGGCTTTAAAAAAAGATGTTATTATCTTAACAGTTTATCGTTAGTAATACATTTTCATTGTACAAAATTGCATTCATCGAAGAATTCAATTTGTATTTTTCTGTATAAAACTGAATGTAGAGAGTTAGATGTTTTAAAAACCCCCCCGCATTTTCTCAAAATCCCGAGCTAGATTGTCCCGTCCTTGTCAGCTCTCCCCCTGAAAAAAGGGATTGTAAATTTACAACCTGACCACATATGAGGTGATTTCGTTTTGATTATTTGATCAGTATATTGCTGGAATTAAAACTTAGCCTTTGTCTCCGAATAATTTTTATATTATTTGATGGTACCTAATTTTACATTTAAATGCATTTATCAATAAATACTAATTGAGTTTTATGTGTTTTTCTAAACTGCAGTGATATTTGAAAATACGTTGCTTCAAATTGCTAAGAGAAATTCCCTTAAAGTTAAATTAAAATTCGATACAAAACTAAATTCCAGCCCCCTCCATATCTACATACCACACACTTGGCTTCTTTGCTTGTAGATAATAAAAATATCTGAAATGTGTTACATTAAATGTCTTAAATATTATAAGCGATTAATATGTTGTAATAATGTTAAACAAGTTTTTTGAAAGTGATTCTTCGTGTATTTTGATGCTTTTTTTCTATTTTATATCCAAAAGATTATTTAACATTTCTAATATCTAATTTCTTGTGAAATCACTCTTTTCAGCACATTCTACATTCAAATTTGGGAACAGCATTAAGAAAGATGAAACTGATTATGGAGCACATTTTAAATCCAATACTACAAATACTTCAACATTTAGTTTTGGAATTAAATCCTCTCCTACTGCAACATCCTCCAGTTCTCCTGCAGGACCTACTACTAGTTTGAAAGGTGAAGAAGGTGCTGAAGAGAAGAAACCTTTCCAATTTTCATTTAATTTGAAAAATAATTCTAATTCATTACAGCCAAATAAATCTTTCTTTTTTGCTGCTGCGTCTGGTGAAACAGTTGATACAAGTAAGCAGTGTTTTTTTTTTTTTTTTTTTTTTTTTTTTTTTTTTTTTAAATAAGCAACTTTTTTATTTTTCTGCTGATTTGGATATACAAGGGCGATCCCAAAAAAAAGGTCTCCTATATTTTTAGATATACAAAGAACCGTTTATTTCTATAATTGCGACATCACTTTAAAGATTGAAGCATGCTGTATTTTTCAACATAATCGCCATTTTCGGTCGATGCATTTAGGCACGTGCAGGCAATGCCCATGTCTACCACTTGCCGCCATGCCCTTCAGAAAGCGTCAATCGAGTCCAAGAAGTTTTTCCTTTCGTCTCCATAGCGGCGAATTCGCGGGAAGAAAGTTGCCCGTTTGTGGGTCTGTCAGCATACGCGGCACCCATCTTGCACACACCTTCCAATATTGCAACTTTTCCATTAAAATCCTGTGGATGGTGCTTCTGGAAACCTCAGGAACCAAAATGCAGAGAGCATCCAGAGCGATCCTCCGATCTTTACGCATGAGTTTCTCAACTTTCGCAATTGTCTCGTCGGCAATTGATGGCCTCCCACTCCTTTCTTCGTCATGAATTTCAGTACAACCTGCTGTAAACTCTCTACACCACTTGCGAAAGTTTTTGACATCCATGCACTGTCCATACACTTCCATCAATAGGCGGTGAATTTCAACCGGTTTAACGCCTTTTGCGTTCAAAAATCGAATAACTGCGCGCACTTCGCACTTGGCGGCAACGGGGAGCTCCATTTTGAATGGCTGCCAAGCAAGCTGAGCATCCAAGCGAAGCGCCGCGTGCTTATGTGGTAGCGGAGAAGCCACCACTCACAACAGCGTTGCCAACAACCGTATTAAAACTTTCTGTACGTCCCCAAAAAATAGGAGACCTTTTTTGGGGGCGATTGCCCTCGTATATTCATGCACAGAGATAAGTCACTTGATTGTATGCAAATCTCATCATGAAAACTGTTTGCCTTGTAAGGTAATTTAAGTATAAATGTTAGTTGGGTAGAGATTGAAAAGTTACGAGGAACTTGTACTACTGAGAATTAATTGTTGGTAATTAAAATTATGAATAGACTTACCATTTATCCATAAGGATAATAACTCTACCACTAAATTATTCTGACAGCATATGTCTACCTAATGGTACTTCAAGCTGAGCCAGGTATTTTGCTGTTGGTAAGTTTTCATTATGGCTAAAATCGATGCACTCATAAAAACAGAATTAAAAATTGCATAAAACTTTGTAATTCCTGCTGGGTTATGACTAAAGCAATATGTACAATTCAGAAATTAGTTAGCATCTTGACTGTAATATTAATAAACAGGCAACCTAATTTATAGCATTGCAATTTCTCAAGAACAGATTTTTTTCAAACAAATATATAGTTGTTTTTCGGAATTAATCACTTAAAGTCATTTAACAGCACTTAAATAGCAAACAGACAACGCTGCAGCCTCCAACAAATATTGACTGGCACTAAACTGTCTGAGTCATCATGGCAGGTGCTCACTGGACACAAATTGCAGTTGACTTATATTTTTTTTTTAATGTTTTCATGTGCTTTTGGTTTGCATAACTTTCTTTTCTGGGAAAATGCATGTGATATAAACCAGAGAGAAAAGAGAAAGTGTTTAAATTAAGCTTAATTTTTAGTAAAAATATCATATTCATGATGTTGAATTTAAAAGTAAATGCATAAATAAATAAAAATAAAAACACTTTTGCAGTGGTTATCCATCTGGCAGAAGAAAGGAATGTATTCTGGACTCTTGATTATCTGTGCTAATTAATTCTTTGGTAGCTGGAAGACAGATAATTCAAAAATGACCATGTAAATTGTAATTGATGCTGTAAAAAAATGAATTTTTAAAGATTTTAAATGAACAACATATGTATTAATTGAAATGAGAAACAATCATAAAATTAACATATATTTTTAGAATTTTTTCTGGAAATGATCTGTTATATTTTTCCATGTGAGAATCATAGTGACATGCTTTGAGCTAATTTAATAAATACTGCACAAAACTAAGATGTATTAAATTCCAGCACATTCATGATTATGCAGTTTAACCTTCCTAGTGGCCGAGACCCTCAACTAAAAACTCTTCATTTCAAGTTTTGAAAAGAAACCAGATTCTACTATTTCTTCT